GAGAACTGCAAACAAAGAGACATGATAAACTGACAAGATCACCAGAAATGTCACTTTTGTATTCGTTTTTTAATATAAACAAATATATTTAACCGTTTGTTTCACTTTGTTCTTCTTTCCACGGTGGGTGCGCCCGGCAGGCCGCCTGTGAGCACCCATAGTCTGCCTGGAACCTCCAGAATGTGTTAGCTAAGCTCCATCAACTGACAAAATCACCCAGAAATGTCACTTTTAGAGCCCAAATATATGTAATACAAATACATTTAAATAGTAAAAGGTGCAAATGTGCTCCGGATTACCCGGGGTGGATTTATAAAGCCCCATGATAGAGATTACAAATCATTTTCATGGAAAGAAGTGTTAAAACCTGCCTGATTAAAGCATATGCAGGACCCCCGTGAGCTCCAGAGTGCATTGTTTTAGGGAACCATATTCATGATAACATCAATCATTTAAATGCAAAAATAATGATTATAAATCATTTTCAGGGGGAAAAGTGTGGAGATATACCTTAATGCAAATACCTTAAATACCTTAAGTGGACTGTGAACTGGAGAAAGCCCTAACGGAGAGAAAGGGATGTTGTTCATGCTCTATTTCATCTGTTTTATTAGTTTTATGTCCTAAATATATTCATGTTGCTCTGTTGGAGGAGTCATATCTACTCTGTAGCTAATGTGCACATGACAATAAATCCTCCACACTTGAAACTTGAAAGAGGAAATACACATTTCCACTGATACACGTAACTCTCTGTATTCACCTCAGTTGATGCTGAACACTCACACAGTTGTTGGTGACTCTAGAAATAGAAAGGGATGTCGTTCATGCAGTTTGAGCCTCAGTGGTTTTGGCTCCTCTCTCCTCTCTCTGAAAGAAGTCCATGAAACCTCCACAAACTTCCCCTTATAATCCAACTAACCCTTTAACACCTTTCATATACTGAGGGGTCTCCATCTGGAGGGTTAAACCCCTTTGTTGTGTCCACTAGTTTCCTAACTATATATAGACAGGGTTCACAGAGTCAGAGTTATTGAGGAAGCCAATGACCTCCGTCTTTGTTCCAGAGTGTTGAACATGTGAACTACACACTCTGGTTCTCTGAGAGGAACATAAAGCAACAAGACAACATGTACTTCAGACTAACAGACAAACAACACTGCTGCATGTTGTTGGGTCGCTTCAGAGTCAGGAGGAAGTGGCTTTTACATTTCATATTAGAAGTTTACTGACATGTCCAAATGGCTGATCACAAGAGAGAAAGACAGAGAGAGAGAGAGAGAGAGAGAGAGAGAGAGAGAGAGAGAGAGAGAGAGAGAGAGAGAGAGAGAGAGATGAGAGAGAGAGGAGAGAGAGAGAGAGAGAGAGAGAGAGAGAGAGAGAGAGAGAGAGAGAGAGATTACAGAGACCAACGGCAACATGTACGATCATTATTATTATTATTATTATTATTATTATTTTGGTTGATGAATTATTTGACAATTTTAAAAATAGAAAAGGTGAAACTTCAGAAAGTAAATAAAATATATAAACACCCAAAATATAAATATCCCAAAATACAGAGAAAAAAGGGTTTTAAAAGTTGAAAGTAAATAAAGATATTGTTATTAATATAAACATATATTTAGTTTTGTATGAATATATTCTTGTATATTGTAAATATATGTGTGTTTTGCTCTTTTTGTAAAGACTTGTGATGTTAGGATCCCTGCTCCGCTCTGCTCCGTGTTGTTTTCATAGATATTGTTAAATGTTCACTTATCAACCTTTTAAACATCGCTTTCACATTCAATGATTTTAATCCCCTTATTTTTAATCCTGTGTTTTTATTCTGATGTTTTATTTCAAATCAAATAATTGTGATTTTCTTTTAATTCGATGTGAAAGAATGTGATTTATGTTTGATGCATTTCATAACTCCTGTATCTGTCATGGTGTCAGTGTTATATCATGTGTTCTCATACCTTGGTATATATATCTATCAGTTATCAAGTGTCTGTATAATAAAGATTACAAATAACCAATCAAACCGGGAAGACCCTTCTTGCTGTTTTGTGTTTTTAATAATTATAATATTATCATTTTTTAAGACTCAACCAAAGAGATTCTGCCAAAGAACCCCTCGTGAGCTCGTGACGCCCGCACTTTGATTTAAGGAGTTTCTTCTAAACTGTAGTGGCAGGGGGAAAAGGTTTAAGGCTTGTTGTTTATCATGAAATGAAATGAACTTTGATACATGTAGATTATCCTCGCAACTGCAATGTCCACTGTTATGTACGGTTTGAGGGTGTGGGTCTGCAAGCCTCATCTGCATATTCACCTGTCGCGCGCCCAGAGACTTTTTAGTGTGCGCGTCACCGGGACGCCAGGGGCTGGTTCTCACGGGAGGAGGAAGCGTGTGTGTGGGGAATGCGGGTATTCAGCGGGATATTGAAGTTTCCTCAGCATGTATACATTATGTTCAAATGCAACGGGGAAGTAACTGAATGTGGATATTGCATCGACCGACCTGGAAGCACGTCTCCGTGGAGAGGACGCGCACAGAGAGAGAGAGAGATTCTCTTCAACACAGGGTGAGATCGCTCCTTTGTGCCACGCCGATCATCGTGTTTCCTTTTTTGTGGATTATAGCCTAAATAGGCCTACAAACATTTCCGTGTTTTGCTGCCGACGGGCGCAGGAGCAACAGCCTTTTGTTTGTCAATGAACTATAGCGGCCTGGATTAGGCAGTAAAGACCATTTCTGTTTATCGCAGAGCGGACTTTTTGTTGAGTTTTGTTTGTGTTTCGCTGGAAAACTGTCAATATTATTGAATAACGTATAAAACCTGTCATTGTTTATGTTGTGAATGTGTGGATGGAGACAGTAGTAAATACACTTCCGAGGGGACTATTTTGTGGAAAGAGTAGATTGTCCGTTTATCAGTTCTGTTTTTCCTTTATAATATTATTTCATATCAAGAAGCCCTCGTGCGTTTATTTAACACAGCTGTTTTTGATAGTTGATCGTTACCAGCTTGTTTACTCCAAATGGTTCTTTACTTACATCTCCACAGGAAACATTATCTGGAGAGGTGGATTATTTAAAAACCTTATATGCTCTGGAGAAGGCTCCGGAGTCTCCTGTAGGATCCAATATTGATGTATTTGTTCAACAGAATGATGATCAGATACTGTCAGTAGATCAGAGATGAAGTTGTGAAGGAAACATTTTAGAAGGAGAGTTACTGGATGCTATGAATGATTTCGCTCCTGGCAAATCACCAGGGATTGACGGGATGCCTGTCGAAGTTTATAAGACTTTCCTCACAGAAATAAAAAAAGCTCTGTTGGCATCCTTACTCCTTTACTCAAGTAATATGATCAGAGACACAGTGTCGAGACGAAAGTCAATATTGAAAGAAAAATAATAATATCTGAGACAAACGGACGGATAAATAATTATTTGTAGGGAGAGTGGGGTAAGTTGAGCCATTTTTTTGTTATGCTGTCCTCTAAGCAAGGAGAAATGACACATAGTAAAAATGAAAGCACACACCTATAATTCAGGATGTCTCCTATCAATGGCAATGATAAGAATTAATATTTGATCAAGGGCAGTGAAAATATTACTTCTAAAAAAATAAAAATGTTGTGGCGGGTTAGGGGTAAGTTGATCCAGGTCAGGGGGTAAATTGAACCACTGTTCAAACTTGGGCATACCTGTTCAAACCTGGGCATACCTACAATAAATCTTAAAGGTAACTTTAAACAATAAATAACAAACCAATTACAAGTTTAGTTTTTCAAATATTTTTAATATAAATTTCGATTGAATTGATTGATTTTTTTTTAACATGTTAATAAAAGGAAAAGTAATCATACAAATGGTGATCCATTTCATACATCTTACCAATCAAACACAGGGTAAATTCAACTTTAAATGTAGCCGACAATGAGCTCTTATTATCAACTTGGCCTACTTTCATTCATTTCTCCATTTGAAAAACTGGCTCAACTTACCCCAAGGCCCACGGTTCACTTTACCCCATAGCCACCATTTTAGAAAAAATAGCCTAGCATTAAAATTCAGAGTCATCTTTAGCTTAATGATTCACATGGTTTAATACGCTGCCAACACATCAACATATACAATATATTTGTTTAAACCTGGATACATTTTTTTTGACATGACAGCCGATATAGCTGACATCTAGAAAATGTACTTTGACAAGCAAAAAACGTTTTTTTTTGTAAAAATGTTTACTTACCAGACCACAATGAGCATCTCTCTTTCACAGGCAATGAGAAATGGGAGGAGCTTGCAAAATTTCTGGTCACGTGATTACAACTATAAGGCGTTGCCTGGTTACAGGGGGTGGTTCAATTTACCCACTGGCTCAATTTACCCCCTTCAACAAAATACATATTTTCGTTTAGGTTATTTATTTTTTATTTATTTAATCGTTTATTTGAACCGGGACAGTAGGCTACACATTAATGAACATTTTAAATAAAATAATGCTTTTAAATGCAAATGAGCCGGATTTTAGCTTTGAGCTAATTTCCATCCGTAGTCCCGTCACATACAACATTTATGAACATAACATTTATATAGGCCTACATGGCAAACAGAAATACATGATATGCAGAAAGAGCATGAGCAGCATACAAGCATTTACCACAAGGCAGTGCAATGTAGCAGCTACGATATATAAAGTGCAGGAGGAGATACCCCTGTATTAAAGTGCATTTAGCGGTGATTGCACGTCTGTTTGTTTCTTAACCATTCTTTTAGTTGACCTTTGAAAATATTGAGAGTGGGACAATCCCGTAACTCAGTTGGGAGGCTGTTCCACAATGTGCTGCCTTTAATGGAGAGGACATTTTGTCCAAAAGTGGTCCGTACGGTGGACCTCACAGTCTCCTCTGGTTTCTGAGTGCAGCGTCCAGTGTGTTTTCTGTGGATGAATGATTGTGATAGTATTGTTCAATACCAGGGGGGTATTCGTTTTATTTTGAATAGCGTAGTCTACTTTTCTTAATGAGAAGCGAGCTGTTATTACAAAATATGAATGCCGCTTCCGGTAACACGGCAACAAAAGGGGCAGGAATTATGATGGCCGGTCTTTTGTTCCTAAAGCCACAGAGGGAGAAGTTGGCGACAGTGTGTGTGAGGCTCCAGAGACGCCGTCGGTATGTTTCTCCGTTGTTTATTGCGTTTTGCGTTCTTGATCTGTTGCCTTATTGTGTGAGAGTGCTGTTGCGCAATCGACGGCTTTTACGCAGCGTGGTTTGTGTGCGCTCCGTTTTGTTTAGTGTATATTTTTAGACAGCGCAGATGGTGTTCACTGAGGTTTTCTGGGTTGCTTGGTTTCAAGTAGAGAAAGAGACTTTCTTATTAATTCATTCAAGTTAATGATGTTTTGTAGAATAACTCACAATTTATCATTTGAATTATAATACCCTGAAAATGGAATGTGACTGAATTATTATTATTATTATTATTAGAAATAATGCAATGAGGCATACAACATGTTTGTGATTTGGTTTGCATGTGTGCTAACATTTGTTTGTCCTCTGTGTTTGAAGGTTTTCAACCTGATGAGAATCCGATGAAAAGTGTCTTGTAAATAACTGCTGAACAGAAAATAAAGACAAAAAGAAAGAATCTGAGTTGTCCAAGCGTCCTCTGTTGCCCTCCAGCCTCTCAAGTTTGGGCAAAACACTGAATACAGGCCAAAACCCGGAAGAACTTGACACACAGAAAGAGGGCATCATCACATTGGAGCTGAAGCAAGACCCAGAGGGGCATTACAAGAGTCCTGTTTGTATGAAGCTTTGGAGACCACTGACTCTACTTTGCTGTGATACCCGCATTCTGTCCAAATGTATTGCACGGAGAATCAAGATAGTTATTGTGAATATAATAAAACATGATCAAACAGGTTTTTATAAAAGGGCGTTTTATTGGAGATAATATTCACCATCTTCTCGATGCGATAGAAAATCATGAAGAGGATGAAAAAGCAGGGCTTTTATTTATTGCTGACTTTGAAAAAGCCTTTGATACAGTAAGATGGGGTTTCATTCAAAACCCCTTCAACTCTTTCACTTTGGGGAAACAATGATACAGTGGGTGAAGGTTTTATATAACCAACCTACCAGTCAAATAGTTCATGATGGATATGTATCAAAAAGCTTCAGCCTGTCCAGAGGCGTACGTCAAGGGCTCACTGTCTCCAGATCTGTTTCTATTATGCTTTGAAACTCTTGCTCTCAGAAGTAGAAACAATTCATAACAGCTTTCAGATCAAATGGTATTGAAACTAAAGTAACATTATCTGCAGATGATGCAGCTTTCTTTCTGCAGCCTGAAGAAACTTCATTAGATGCCCTCATAGGTGATTTAAATCACTGTTCAGAATGAGCTGGGCTAAGGCCTAACTTTTATAAATGCTGTATTATGAGAATAGGAACATTGAGAGGTACAGATTTCAGACACAATGCTCAGCTCCAGTCTCATGGTGTAATGGTTCAAGATCATCTCAAAGATCTAGTTACGGAACATTATGAGGGAGAAATGCAGAAAACTGAGAAAAGACTAAAACCTTGGAAAGAGAAGACTCTGTCATTACAGGGAGAGATCACATGAAGTAAAGCTCTTTGATTCACTTTGTTGATCTCTTCATTGCACTTCCCTCCCCAGAGGCGTCTTTTTTTAAAAGCTTTGAACAAATGTTTAAATGTATTTGGAATAATAAGCCTGACAAGATTAAAAGGCAATACATATATAATACACTTTCTGCTTTTCCTCGTACGCTCTGCTCTTTCTGGGAAGATGGTTTTAATATTTTGATACCATGGAAACCATTTTTTAGAACTATATACAAAACAACAATTTATTCGTATTCAAGAATTTTCCAACTGAAGCTTTTTGACAAGATTACCGCCACAAAAAACAACTCTTTAATATTGAACCATCACCATGATGTCGATTCTGTGATGAGGAAGAGGAAGAGGAAGACCAGATGCATTTATGTAGTTATTGTCCACATGTGGCAAGTCTGTCGTCTAAGATTCAAAATGGGCCGAAGACACTCAATATTGAATTTACATTTATACACTTTAATATGTTATTTGGGCTTTTAGATGAAGACCGCACACAGTTAATAAATACAACTATTCTTCTGGATAAAAGACATGTTTTTTAAACTCAACCAAGGAGTAATCTTAATTTAAGGTGTTTGAAGAGTAGATTCAAAATACTGTTTCTTTTGGAAAAGATGATTGCCACCAAAACTGAAAGGCTGAACACGCCATGATGGGAAATAATGAGCTCTAAGGAAGAGTCGGATTAAAGGAACTATAAATATGCCATGTTGTGTTTTTGGTGGTTTTTGGTCGTCAACCTATTTCTGTTTGTGAAATGTTGAAGTGATCCGACTGACTATCTTTATTTCTTTAGTTGTTGTCTGAGGTGGGAATGTCATCTCCTATATGGTATTGTTATGTCCATGTTTGTGTCTTCAGCCTGTTGTTGACAGACCTGCTGTTCAAGTGGCCGTGACAGACCTCACTTTTACCTCACCTACCTCTGTTCAGCTTACCATTGATAACAAATGATTATAATTTGGTTTGATGGAAAGGATGTTTGTCTCAATAAGGTCTTATTATCCGACATGTGAAACCAGACAGAACATCCTGAACTCTTGACCTATGCACATTATGCATTTTAGAAGGTGCAAGCAAAGCAGAAGGCGTTGTGATTTTTGACACCTTGAATCCTTGACACCTTGAATCCTTGACACCTTGACACCTTGACAACGGTTACAACGATTAAGGACAACACACAGGATGAGAGTGAACTGTGTACAGACTTGATGATTTTAGGTCCAACATCCAGAGACAATAGTGACAGTTGTGTTAAGTTTGTTTCTGTTAATAAATGAAAGTATAAAGTTTGCATATTTGTTACATTTTGAAGTTAAGAGAAAAACTCAATTCTAAACATGACATTGAAAATGTGTTTTGCTTTCATAAAAACGTTCATATTCCCTTTTTTGTTATTGCATATCATTACTATAGTCTTCATTTGTTTAATTTTCACTTGACATGTTTAATTGATTCATTAAGTAAGAGTTGAACCTGTGTGACCTCCTTCTCCCTCAAAGATAGAAAAGGGGAAAGCACCTGATGCAGAGAGGGAGGAGGGGAGAGACTATAAAAGATGAGGGAAACGAGAGATCTTTAGAGTTTGGGGACTTTTTTGAGGCTTTATTTTGGGCCCTGGGCTCTTTTAGACGGCTCTAGGGGGTTCACTTGGGAACCTATTGCTTTTGTACTTTGACCTTGTGTCCTTGTAAAACCATTTTGTATCTTCATTTTGTTATTTTCGACCCAATGGTCTCTGTGGTGGTCTCTGAAGGTCTCTGCTTGGTCTTAGGGTGAGGTAAGAACACCCTTCCTTGGAAAAGGCTGACATTAGTTGATCATTTGGACTTGAAATTGTTTGAGGGGAATAGAAAACCTGCTAAGGATAAGCTGTAGTTTCATATTGGTTACTGTGGTTGATGTGGTTTTGATTGATGCTGAAATATGACGTGCTCTGCTGATGTGGTAATATCACTGCTGTGATATCAGTGTTTGACTCTGGCTATGTTTGATTTTACATTTGCATTGTTTTAATTGGCATAACTGGGGATGAAAAGAGGGGGTTAGGGATTGTGGGTCCTGAAGCTGCCCTAATTACCAAGGGGTCTCTCAACGACACGGGGTTTCTCCTCCAGGGGCAGTTTAGATACTGCTCTGGGGTTCTACCAGCTCACCAACACCTACTGCACTACACACTCCGTTTTGCTATCCTGGCTGTCGGACATCCGACACTTTAGTGCCTGAAATAAGTGATACGACGGGCAGCTGGTGTTAGAGGCCACGCTGTTAGTGCCCCCCTAAGCAGATTACGGTGATCTTGCGTGTAGATTCTGGGGGGTTTAGTTCTAAAGGTAGGACGGCCGTTTTCCGGAGCCTTATCAGCATCGGAGCTCGGTATCAGAGACGACCTACACTGTAAAAACAGTTCCGATGGTGAAGTCAACAAAACTCAATTTTTTTATGTAATTTACTTGCCCTAAATTAGGTTTTTTTCAATGTGCGTTTAAATAAGTAACACTTAAGCAACAATGAGAACATGTTTTAAGAACTCATTAATTTGTAAATTAATATCACATTTTCTGAACTATCTTTAAAAATACGTTTTGGAAAACGTAATAAAAATGCTTTTGTCAACGCCACGGTCATGCCACGCCCTCAAACGAGAATACCGCACACGGACTGAGGCTCGGTGCGCCCCACGGAATGGCTGAGGACGTCGCCCACCATTCCCGCATCGTCTCGGCACTGGAAGACAGCAAGCCTTCCGACTACGAGGAGACGATGCACGATCTGCTGGGTGTGGAAGAACCCAACTTCTACCTCGTGGAGCTGTTTCTTCGGGGCATGCGGCTGCATGTCCAGGCTGCGCTAGCTAACACGGCTAGTGTTCAGCCCCGCGCTTTGGCCGAAGAAGCTAGCCGGTTCTTCCTGGCCGCCCGGCGATTTACCCCTGAGGTGCTTGCCACTACACGCTGCAGCACCTTCCCTGGTGGGGGCACGCCGCCTAGCAGAGGCTCCGGGGCCGACGACGACGACGACAGCGACTAACGGCCGTCGAGAACGGCTAGCCACGACAGCTAGCGGCTAGCAGCTAGCGGCTAATGACATCCATTGGCTATCAACATCCGACTGTTAGCCCCTTTTTTTTTGTGGTGCCGGAGAGGAGGTTCAATCAAGTCTGGTCGGCCTTGTGTGGATCCTCTCGCAATTTCGCCCACCTGTTTTTAATCGTGGACAGGACGACCCTTTTGAGCTTTTTCTGGTGCCTGAGAGGAGGTTCGACCATGTCTGGTCGGCCTCGTGTGGACCCTCTCGCTTTTTCGCCACCTCGACGGCGGCTTCGGACGTCGCCCATGCCTTCTTCGGCCCGTGGGTTGCGCGCTTCTGGACCCCGTCTCGCCTCGACTCTACGGTTTCGGACGTCGCCCATGCCTTCATCGGCCCGTGGGTGGCGCGCTTCGGGACCCTGTCTGGCCTCTTCCTTCGCCTCGGCAGCAGCTTCGGAGTTGCCCACGCCTTCATCGGCCCGTGGGTGGCGCACTCCCGGACCCTGCCTGGCCTCTCCTCTGACCGCGGCTCACGGTTCGCCTCGACGGCGGCTTCGGACGGCGCCCCGTCTGACCTCTCCCCTGTCCACGGCTCCTTCCTCCCGGGGATGCTGCTCCTGCCCCCCGGGGACACGGCTCCTTCCTCCCGAGGACGTCATGCCCGCCGCCGCTGTGCCTTTGCCTGCGGCCGGGCAGCGCTCCTCCCGGCTGAGGACCACCGGGATATTCACGCCCGTCCCCACGTCGCATCACAGCGACCCTGCTTTCTACGGCCCCCTGACGGCGGCCCGTTCCGGCCCGCCCCCCACCTCCGGTGGGGATGCCCTCGCCCTCATTAGGGCTCCTACCCTCTCCTGCGGCCCTCTTCCGACGGCCCGTTCCATGCCCCGGCCCTCGCCTGCGACCCCACCCTCCTCGGCCCCTGTGGTGCTTCCTCCCGGACGCGAGGATTGTGTCCATGGTTGAATTCTGGGGGGGCTTGTGTAGTGATCACTGTTTATCATAATTCACTCATGGAACTACAGGTTGGGGGTATTGTTCCGCACGGACACACATGTTGACTGTACCTCCTGTGTACCTACTGTGTGCCCTCCTTTCTCTTCTTTCTCTTCTCTTCCTGGGCTGCGACCCGACAACATGTCCGTTTCTGCTGCTCATTAAAGTTCCCATTTGCACCTTCGATGCACCGCCTCCGACTCCTATCTCTCGGCACTACACTACAATCTTAGTGTACCCAATTTAAACTC